CCCCATTTTTCCATAAATTCAGAATGCTAAAAAAAATACTTTTTTGGTCTGTTTATACTTTAAATAACTTTAAAAAATAAACCGGGAGTGATCTCCCCTAAACTTTCTCGAATATTCTTATATAACTTGGAATATAGACATGATTTTTAATTACTTTATCTTTTAAAAATAGAATAGAATCTCATAGAAAAAAAGTATTGCGCACCAAGCGAACGCCAAATAAAGATGTGTATAATAGTTCGCAATATTGTTAGTACTTTATAAATTTACATGCGTTTTTTGAGAAATCGGAAATAGCGTAAGTTATTACTTCCTGTCAACGGAAGTTACTCAAAATTTGACAGAAGGTAGCGAATTAGATCTTTTACTCACATGTGAAATTTCATTTATCTATCTGAAATAGTACTCAAGTTATAGGCTTTTGAAAAATTCAAAGTAGAAAAAGTACCACTTCCGGTTATCGGAAATCGCTCAAAAGTTTATACGGATCTACGATTTTGATAAAATACTTATATATGAAATTTCATCAACCTAGCTATAACAGTACTCAAGTTATCGTGTTTACACACAGACAGACAGACACACAGGCATACGGACAAGATTGCAAAATTATGTTTTTGCGTATCAGTGAGGTGTAAAACGTCGAGATTTGTAAAAATCACGATTTTTTTTTTTGCACGATTACAAGACTTTATCTATACTTCGTATATACGAGAAAGTAAAAACAGACAAATTTACTGCTAATTAGTCTTCCATGTGTATACATCTTGGACAGCTGTTTTATTGCAATGTCACCGGTTTTGTTCTGTTGTCACTATAAGATTTTTTTGTCTGCAAGCTTCATGAAAAACTATTGTTTCTTTCACTTTCTTTTGTGTATTACCCTACGCCGGCCATAGCTTAAGTCACAGTAAGGGTTAGGGTTAGGGCTAGGGTTTGGGTTAGTGTTAGTGTTAGCGTTAGCGTTAGCGTTAGGATTAGGTTAGGCTAGGCTAGGCTAGGCTAGGTTAGTTTAGGTTAGGTTAGGTTAGGTTAGGTTAGGTTAGGTTAGGTTAGGTTAGGTTAGGTTAGGTTAGGTTAGGTTAGGTTAGGTTAGGTTAGGTCAGGTTAGGTTAGGTTACGGCTTAGCTTTAGTTTGTTTTTTTACGTAATGTTATGATTAGGGTAAGACACATGTCTATAGTTCGTGTTTGGTTTATGGTTTGGGTTAGGGTTAGAGTTTTAATTATAGTGTAATTAGTGGTAACCTTTTGGGTAAGGATTCTAGAGCGTGGGGTAGGGGGGGATAATTAACCATAGGTAAGTCATAAGGTGGGTTAATTGCCCAGCTGCCTTTACTTCCCTGATATGAATTAGATACCCATCAGAGCTGGGTGGACTCAGAGACGTTTTACATACTTGAACCCGATAAGACCTCGAGACTTTCGGGTTAGTAGCCTAGCTCTCTACCGCTACCCCACGCCGTCCCCTACGGGACTTCTATTTTGGTTGGTTTAAGGGAAAGCGAGGGGGGGTAGTGCAGTGTATTCCAGTAATGCATAAAAGAAACACTGTTCAATGCAAGTGGTATTACAAGAATGACCATTCAATATCTGAAGTTTCATACCTTGTTAAGATTGTTATATTTATATTTATATTTCAGGTGTAATGAAGTAGATTCAGCTAATAAAACTTTGACTAAGAAAAATGCGTGTATTTGCTGTCTTAATGGATGGAATAAGGGATGCTGCAGATGGTGTAACTGAGGAGAATGTCCAACTCCAAATGAACCTCATGCGGTTGTTGGTTCCTATACTTTGACTTCATAAACCATTTTCCCAACGGTTTTTGCTTCGAAAAATGTCGAATGTCGAAACGAAGTGCTTTATTTTAATGTGAGTTTGTGACGGAACGAGTTAATACACGAAAAAAAAAACTTTTTTTTTTAATTCTTAAGCCATTTTAGTCACCCTGAGAATTTTTACCGATCTAATGTCAAAGCGATACAAACAAATTACTGCCATATACTTTTCGCTTGATTGTTTTGTACAAGTACACAACTCGCACACATGATTGCAATAAATAATAAACTTCGTTTTATCATTACATTTTTTTATTGTCTAAGTATTTATAATTTACTCATGTGTGTTGATCTGTTAGAGCTGGGCTTCTTCTTCTTCTTCGTTCATTTTTAGTGTGGAAGGGATCGTGCCTTATCTGCCAGAGGGTTTGAACTCGAGACTTTATCGAATGTATCAACCATGAGCTTTTGCCGACTCGACCACGCCTCCATCACAATTAAGGATACGTGTCACCTGGTTATGCGCCATTGAGCCATTGGCTCCGATTTCAGCCTACTTTTTCTTTTTGGATTTGCTCCCATAGCCTTTGTTCAACCAAGAACAAACTACAAGGCAGCAGTTGTTTGATTTTGGAGTTGTGTCTCCTAGAAGAGTTGCCGTCACCAGCTAACGAGCCTCATCTGCCCGAGGGTTCAAACTCGAGATTTTTCGGTTTAGCAACCATGAGCTTTACCGCCTCGACCACGCCGACTAGAGCTGGGCTAATAACGACATTATGATCTTATGAACGGTTTGCTTTGTAATACATCCATTTATGACGTCAACACAGGGGCGCTCCGAAAAAAATCGACTTTCGCGGACTGGGGGGGGGGGGGGTCATATAAAATGTAGATTATACATTAAATCGGCAATTGTCGTAGTAAATGTACCAGTAATGTAGCTATTTACCACCCGCCTAAGAATAAAAGCGATTTTTTTAAAGCGGTAGGACATGGGGCAATGACCGCGGCAATTTTCTAAAAAAAATTCATGGTATTTCAATTTATATTTTAAACATTTCAAACAAGTGTAACTAAATCGTAGTAGCCCCCCCCCCCCCCCCCCCCCGCCGAAGAGATTCCTGGAAAAAACTCTGTTCACAACGTTTTATGGCGATCCGGTGAAAGACGTACTAATTCATATAGGACAAACAGACAAACATACTTTCATTTTTATTAATATACGAGCCGACCCGCAGCGTATCAATCGCCGCTATTTAGTTGTTTTATTTTCTACTTTTCAGTAATTCATAATTTGTGAATTCGACAGTACCAATGCTGCCACTGAAAATATTTGCTTTAAAACACTAACCCCCCCCCCCCCTGTCCCCTAACCCCGACCCTACACCCCCCCCCCCCCCCCGTGAAAGCAGCCTCCTCTTAGTTATTTCTTAGTTACCTCCTGTAAGTTTAATATTGAACTAAATTATCTGCCCCTAATAGAAACCCGGCTCTAAGGCTCTACGATTTGTAAACATTTATCTTTGTAAACATTTAGCGTGACCACAACTCACCAGACAATGTCGGGGTGGGGTGGGGGTGGTAGTGATAGTGATAGAGAGAAAGAGAGGGGACTGCAAGGAGGCGCTTGCAGCTTGTTTTCTAACGGCTCCCAGAAGAGAATTATATATATAGATACTTTAACTAGTGTCCGCATACCCGCACCCAGAAATTGAGTCACAATTTTCTTTGTTTGTTACATTTAAACAAGGTTAGTAGACAGGCATGCAGGTGGGTAGGCAGGCATGTCGGTATGTAGGCAGGCCTGTAGACCAGAGTTTCTTCCAGACATCTCTTCGGGGGGGGGGGGGGGGGGCAAAGCCCCCCGAAATTTTTTTACCACCCCCCCCCCCCCCCCCGAACGAAATGAAATTTATATAATTTATATAGAAAATATATACTTTTAACAGTGTCCGCCCCCCCCCTTTCCCGAAGAAATTCTACCGCCCCCCGAAAATTTCAAGTGCCCCCCCACCCCCCCCCCCCCCGGAGAAAAAAGTCTGGAAGAAACACTGCTGTAGACAGGCATGTGGACAGGTAGGCAGGCATGTCGGTAGGAGGTAGGTAGCATAGGCAGTTAGAAAGACAGACAGGTAGGCAGGCGTGTAGGTAGTCACTGATCTTTTGGTAGGTAGGTAACATAGGCAGGCAGATAGAAATGCAGGCAGGTTGACAGACATGTAGCTAGGCAGCGAGCATTTGGCAGATATGTAGGTAGATGGAAAGGCAGGGAACTGGCTGGAATGCTTTTATATTGCATTGTCCCAAACATTCCTACAAACAACATTGAAAATTTATATATAAACAGAAGACAAGTAATAGTTTAGTTGTATTTATTTTTTTCCATTTAAAAATTGTTGATTCTGCCACATTTCATTGCTCTGATGTTCTTTTTACGCCAATGGTTTCTGCCAAGGTCAATATTTTGTTTTTTTTCCTCTGTTGTATATCTTTTACCTGAAGAAATAAATTACAATTCTATATTTGGTACCTAAACAATTAACAGTTACTGCTGAGGAAAGCTAAGAAAACAATTTAAGAAATTACCTTTACATCTGCTCAGTTTAACAGCACAGTCTTCTTTTGGTGTATCTATAATAAAAACATAACATTTTGAAGCTCTTACAAATAAAATACTGAAATAACATTGTTTTCTCTGACATAAACATTAAAGTTAGGTTCTCTCTAAGACCTTGAAATAAGGGCAATATTCAGACACCTTTACTTTACTCGGGGATGTCCTACTGACTCAAGCCCTGGAATTGTACTCTCATCTATCTCTTCACTACTCCATAAAATTTAGGCCTTATTTACACATTATATTTTATGCAGAATAAGAATTAATATTTTCCAGAGCAGACATGCTTTAAAAGACTACCATAATAGGCCTACATTATTTAATAAATTACCGGACACATCATTTGATCCAATGATACATGGAATATCTGATTGACCTGCTGCTTCCATTATATTTATAGCCTCGTGGTCCTGAACTGGAATATATAACAAAAATATTTCTAAATTAAATTATACATGCCCTACATTACACTTTTACACAATCCATTTTCATTCACAATATGAACAATTACATATTCATCCTTCCTCCAAATAATAGTTTAAAAGCATTCTTCTACATTATTTGCATATTCCAGTTAAAATAGATAAATAGAAATACCTTGCTTGCTTGTTGATGCAACACTACTAGTACTAGGCATCACTGTTTCAATTTTTTATTCTTCCAAATCATTAATGTCCATTCCAGCAGCCGAATCCTGCCTGAGAAATGAAGTCTCAACAGATTGATCTGTCAAAAACAAATTTTTAAAAATTGTTTTACTGGAACTGTTCAAAATTTCATAATATAATATAAATTAGTATAAAAATGTTCTACTAATTATACTTGGGTAGACTTATGTGTCTACAATAAATGATGTTATTTGAAAACACACTGGTACTTAAATTTAAGTAGTGAACATCTACCTCCAATTCCCCGCTCCAACAAAATAGAATTTATATTTACCATTGTCTTTGTCCACCCCCACTCTGTACTTTAAAGTGCCCCCCCCCCCTCGCCTGGGGAAAAGAGTCTGAAAGAAACGCTGATAAACCCCACCAACCCCCCCCCCCCCCCCCCCAGCACTTTCATACCAGTAACAACTCACCCAAATTAGCAATATTTATTTCATCACCTTGTATTGTTGTTCTTTCCTGCCCATTACTTCTATCTGTAATGTCCAAATAGTTAAAAGCTTTACACCTGTCGGTAAACACTATTGAGGGTTATTAAAAATCTATTGTACAGAACAGTGCATGAAGATCCACACAAAGTTGCCTTATTTGAGCAGTGATTTAATCGTAACTGGGCTGCCTACAGGCATTGATTTTAAGCACCCACAGATGTATACAGAAAAAGAACTGCATAAAATAATAAGCTTAGCTTAGCTTAGCTTAGGGTTTAGTTTTAGGAATATGTGAAAGCTTAGGGTTTAGGCTTTTACTTAAGGTTATGATTAGGATAAGACATAAGTCTAGAGTTGGGGTTAGGGTTAGGGTTAGCTTAAATTGTTGGAATTTGTGGTTAGCTTTTGGGAGAGGATTCTTGAGCGTGGGACAGGGGTTAATTCACAGGGTGGGTTAATTTCCCTAACGTGAGTTAGATACCCATCGGAGCTGGGAGGACTCAGAGACGTTCTACAGACTTGAACCCGGATTTGAACGAGACTTTCGGGTTAGCAGCCTAGCTGTCTACCTCTAGGACCCACCGTTTAGAAAAGTATATATTATTTCGATAAAAATGTTTTAAAAAATTCTATTTTGATTGGTTTTAGGAAAAGTGGGGGGGGGGGGCGTGGGGGAGTAGGGCATTGTATTCCAGTAATGCATAAAAGAAACACTGTTCAATGCAAGTGGTATTACACGAATGACAAATTAATATCTGAAGTTTCATACCTTGTTAAAATGGTTATCTTTATTTTCCAGGCGTAATGAAGTAGAATCAGCTAAATAAAAACTTGACTAAGTCAAGTTATTTTTGTGATTGCTGTACTAGTAGCCGCAACACTGACTCACATTACTGCGCCTTGTGTGCTCTAGGATGAAGCACAACTAGAAATGTTCCTTTAAGTGGTTTATGATTCCTATCCTCAGTCTTCATAAGCCGTTTTCCAACGGTTTTTGCTTCGAAATATGCCGAACGTCAAAACGAAGTGCTTTATTTTAATGTGAGTTTGTGACGGAACGAGTGAATACACGATTTTTAAAAACATATTTTTAAAAATTATTAATTACTTTTCGCTAGATTGTTTTCTACAAGTACACAACTTGTATACACGCTAGCAATAAATAATAAACTTTGTTTTATCAATTGAATTTTGTTATTGTCTAAGTGGTTTATTATTTACTAATGTGTGTTGATCTGTTAGAGCCGGGCTAATAACGACGTTATGATCTTATGTGCAAGAGGCTGAGAACGGTTTGCTTTGTAATACACGCTTGAAACTATTTTAGATTTACTTTATAAAGTGTTAACGTTTAGCTAACATCGTTTGGCTTTCTGTACATTAAACACAGACTATCGGCCATTCTGCGCTAGTCTTTGTAGTTTACAACACCCTCAACATCTGGCGTAAGAGGATTGCGCCTGTGTTGTTTAAAGGGAGAATGTTAATATGTGCAGTTGGACTCCCGCCCCCCCCCTCCCCCCTCACGCCCAGTGAAATGAGGCGTTTACAGACAAAGAAAAGATCAATCAGAAATTGTTACCTCCCTTTTCGTTTCAAATCGTTTAATACTAAATTATCTGCCCCTAATAGCCGTCACTAACCCGGCTCTACGATTGTAAACATTCGGGGTGAACCACGGCTCACCTGACAGGTGGGGATGAGGGCGGTGGCTAAGCTGCGTGGTGTTTTCTGTGGTCTCCGTGAAGAGAATTATATATATATAGAAGATAGTATAGAGGATTTTGTAATCGTGCACACAAATCACATGAAATTTTGACAGTTTTCATCGTTTTACACATCACCTCTTCGCAGAGGCGGAACTACAGTGCCGCCAGACTCCGCAATGCGGGGGGGGGGCACGCCGTTTAGGGGGCCCACAGCTGCCCATAATAAATTTTTTAAGTTAAAATTAATTTTCTTGCATTTTTTACTTGATGGTTGTTTTGAAAAATGAATACTGTAGCTGCGGTTGGAGTATCTTTATTCTATAGACACCATCCCACTCTCTTGTATATTCTTTTTCCTACAATCAAACACACGCTGTTGTCGGCAAAATTCTTTTGAAAAAACATCAATTGCGCGAGAGGCCGCTAGATATTAAGACGGTTTTTTGAGATCATCCCAAATTTGGTACTGATGGATAAAAGCACATCGGTGCTTTGTTGTTCCTTTTAAGTTCCTTTCTCAGACCTCCCCTCAAGCTCTTAGCCTTACAAGAAGCGAATAGATAGCGCCTCAACAGCTAAGCTGGCTCGTATCGGTGGTAATGTAGACAAACTAACGCTTCAACAACAAAGCTAGCTGGAATCGGTGGTAATGTAGACAAACTAGCGCTCAAACAACTAATATCCAAGAAATAAAGTGCCGACATTGTTTACATTTAATAACCACTGTTCTAGAAAACAAGGCAAACGTCTCAAATAAATACACGAATTATAGCGTATATATATATATATATATATATATATATATATATATATATATATATATATATATATATATATATTAGTTTCGTCACTGGCACCTTGATAGTGGTTTTGTAAATAACAAACAGATAACAGATACAATACAGTAGTGATATTATATAGTAACAAAGACATGCTGTTACGTAAAAAAATTAATATATATATATATATATATATATATATATATATATACAGGAGCTGTAGTGTGAAAGTGAAAGACAGGCAAACGTTCAAACCACTTCCATAAATTATTTCCCTTTTTCAAATAGCCAAATAGGGGTGCTCATAAGCTCCTTTAAATAGATTTTTAATAATCAAATTAAACACCAATTAATTTTCTTAATTATTTTTTTTAAATAAGTACTAAAGAATGGTATAGTATAATAATGAAATGTAGTGAAAATTAATAATATAAATACAAAAAAAAACAAAAAAATAAACATAACACGAGACACCATTACTTATACAAAGCTTCATGATTTATATAATTTTGACCGACCTAATGATTAGACGTATTAAGTCAAACTTAAAATAAAACAGAATTTCAAAACAGACCAATGCACTCACACACATGACATGTTGTTGTAATTAGATTTAATTGAATTTTATTTTCAAAACCCTATCAGGTCAGAAATGAGTATCCTATGTTCGTATTGTATATATATATATATATATATATATATATATATATATATATATATATATATATATATATATATACATATATGGGGGGGGGGGGGGCCCAAAAAAATGTGTGCGGGGTGGCCCATTTTTTCTAGTTCCGCCACTGCCCCTTCGTCGTATTCTGAGTATATGGGACTTATTTTAGTCGGGCAAAAATAATAAATCCAGATTTATCAACATTTCGGCGGTTTATGCGTATTCGAGTCTTGCAATTCTGTCCGTATGTCTGTGTGTGTGTATGTCTGTAAACACGATAACTTGAGTACCGCTAAAGCTAGGTTGATAAAAATCATATATAAGTATTATATTAAATTTGTAGTTTTGTATCAACTTTTCAGCAATTTCGGATAACCGGAAGTGGGACTTATTCTACTTTTAGTTTTTCAAAAGTCTATAACTTGAGTACTGTTTTATATAGGCCTATATATTTTAATGTTATACTTGATTCAGAAAAATAACACAACACCTATTAGATGAACCAAATCATCGAGGGTATAGAAGACAAACGCAGTATGTCAAAAAACCTAATCTCGAGAAAAATGAGTTTATAAATCTCATTCCAGTGTAAAAATTATGCAAAATATTATGTTTAAACACTCATAAAATATTTGCATTCTACTCTAAATAGTGGACATCCTGCATTTGTCCTCTATACCCTCGTTATTTACATTATTAGTCAACACAACACCATATTAAATGCACACACCGATTAAGAGACTTAAATGATTCCATTAAAAAAAACCGACAGATCAATGGTATTTATGTTATTTTTTAAAGTAATTTGTATTAGTTTAAGCCGAGAAAATTGTACGCATTTAATAGAGTACGTCGTAAATAAGTATATCTCTGGATCTAATTCAAATTTGAATGAAATAATTATTTCTTCAAATTCTAAAATTTGAAGATGACGCGCCATTAATTGTGTGTGTGTTCTTTCTGTAGTTTAACCATGTGATGTCATTGTTTTTTTTGCGTTATTGTCACAACAATAAACACTTTTCCTATTGCATAATTAAAAATGTGTTTCTGCATTAGAATATGCCTATATTTTTATTTTTATTCTGTAAATAAAATTTATTTTATACGTTTAAAATATCCAACATATTATTTTCAACTAAAGTCCGTATCTTTTAGTTCTCCATATATCGCTGAACATACTGATAACATAGCCTCAAAAAGTTGCCGACAGAGGTAGAGAGAGAAGTGCGCACATGGACTTTTATATATATATATATTGGGATAGTGTTTGCCGTTTACTCTGTTCGCAATTCTTTTTTCTACGAGATTCTATTCTATTTTAAAAAGTTTAAACAAGTAAAAACTGATTAAAAACTGATTGCCATCTCCCTTAGTGTTATATTAGTGTTATATTGCACCTTCCAAGACACTCCAAAGAGTTGCATGAAAGAAACTCTTAATGCGACTTTGGTCAAGTTTAAGCATGGGTGCAAGGTTTAGGGGTTTGACAACGACTATATTTAGTATCAATGCGCAGTACCTGCGTATGGATCAAGGTTACCATATAAAATATTATGGTAATGTCTACATTAAGCGTCTATATATAAATAAACCGGGAGTGATCTCCCCTAAACTTTCTCGAATATTCTTATATAAAATAACAGGGGATGGGAACTCGGGCTATAGACATGATTTTTAATCCATTTTAAATACTTAAAGTTTTAAAAATAGAATAAAATCTCGTAGACAAATTAATTGCACACCAAGTGAACGCCAAATAAAAAAGCGCATAATAGTGCGCAATATTATTAGTACTTTTAAAATTTACATTAGTTTTTTGAGAAATCGAAAGTAGCGTAAAGTACTACTTCCAGTCAACGGAAATTACTCAAAATTTAACAGAAGTTAGAGAATTAGATCTTTTACTTACATGTGAAATTTCATTTATCTATCTGAAATAGTACTCAAATTATAGGCTTTTGAAAAATTCAAAGTAGGAAAAGTACCACTTCCGGTTATCGGAAATCGCTCAAAAGTTGATACGGATCTACGATTTTGATAAAATACTTATATATGAAATTTCATCAACCTATCTGTAACGGTACTCAAGTTATCGTGTTTACACACGGACAGACACACAGACACACACACACACACAGACATACGGACAAGATTGCAAAATTATGTTTTTCCGTATCAGTGCACGATTACAATACTTTCTCTATACTTCGTATATACGAGAAAGTAAAAAATAGAAAGGCGTCGTTGATGGTTGAATTTTTTAAAAATAAGAATTGAAAGCCGAAAACGATGCACAATAATAATGACGTCATTGATAATAGAGACAAAAAAAATTAAACACCTAATTTAGTTGTCTAATTTCAGAAATGAATATAGCTATAGAAAGCAAATAACGGAAAAGTATTACATATAGTAAGTGTTTGTATCAGGACTAAGGTTGGGGTTATTAGGTGTTTCATTTCAGGTTAAATTTCCGGATCCGATTAAAATTCCAATCAGGACAAAATCCATTTTGATTGCAATTTTCGATTACAGTTAAATTTGAAGTTTAGGGGTTGCTTTTGGTTTTGGTTTCGGTTTAAAGAAAAAGGCAACATTATCAACCTAGCGCCCGTTGTATTTCTCTCTCGACGGGCCGTTTGTGTAGTGATTAATAATTTTCATTTTAGCACATCCATAACACAATTTACTCTCATGAATCTACACCGCTTTATACATCATCAACATCTACACCACACTACAGGCCATCCACATCAACAGCACAGAACAAGCCACTCCTATCAACACCACACTGCGCATCATCAGCATCATATAACACTTCATGCACATCCACATCTAAACCACATTGCCTGTTATTCACAGCCACCTGTTACTCATGAACTCCTTG